TTCTTGAGTTTTTTTTTTAAAAAATGTATTTTAGATATTAGCTGTTTATTGGATTTGGAGTCAATGAAAATCTTTTCCCATTCTGTCTGCTGCCATTTTGTCTGGTTGATGGTGTGTGTCCTTTGCCTTGCAGAAGCTTCTCAGTTTCACTAGGTCCCATTTATTCCTTGTTGTTCTTAGAGCCTGTGCTTTTGATAGTCTGTCCAGGAATCTGTCTCTTGTGCCTCCTGTGCCCTCCATTCTACAGGAATGTCTGACATTGCCTGGATGGCCAGGAACCAGAGGCAGAACAGCCCGGAGTCCCAGTATAGAATCAAATATGACTGGCAAATAAATAAATAAGTAAATAAATAAACAACTAAGTCAATGAAATGATTCCTAATGATATTCTGCTATGCTCATAGATCAGTGTCCAGCCCAGTTGTCATCAGAGGGGTGTCATCCAGCAACTGATGGGAGAAGATGCAAAAACCCACAGCCAAACACTAGGTAGAGCTAGGGGAACACAGTAGAAGAGGGGGAAAAAGGATTGTAGGAGCCAGAGGTATTGAGAATACTACGAGAATACGGCCCACAGAATCAGCTAAGTGGGGCTCCTAGGGGTTCACAGAGAATGAAGCAACAAGCATAGACCCTGCATGGGTCTGAGCTAGGTCCTCTATGTATACCTTATGACTGTGTAGCTTGGTGTTCTTGTGGGACTCCCAAAAATAGAAGTGGAGGGTGTCTCTGATTCTTTTGCTGGCATTTGGGACCCTTTTCCTCCTACTGAGTTGCTTCATCCAGTCTTGAAATGAGGGTTTGTGCTCAATCTTATTGTATCTTCATAGGCCATGCTCATTGGATATCCCTGGGAGGTCTGCTTTATTTTTTTTTTAAAGGAAACAAAAGGGAAGTTGATCTGAGGGAGAGGGGAGGGAGGGGAAGGACTGGAAGAAGTGGAGGGAGGGGAAACTGGGGTTTGGATGTAATATATGAGAGAAGAATAAAAGTTTAAAAAAATGTTGCCAGGCGGCAGATGCCTTTAATCCCAGCACGTGGGAGGCAGAGGCAGGCCGATCTCTGTGAGTTTGAGGACAGCCTGGTCTACAAAGCAAGTTCCAGGACAGCTGGGGCTGTTACACAGATACCTTCTATCTCGGGGGGTGGAGGAGTCTCCTGGGACCCACCCCAGAGATTCTGGAGTAACCAGCAGTCTCAGCATCCGAAGCTGTTTTAAAAAGTGAAAAGGGAAGGAAATGAATGTTTCCATTGGTTTTACAGCAAGGAGATGTTGGACTCTCTTTCCATTTCCACTGTTGATTCTCCTTGACTTACCAGATAAATGAGAGAGGAGCCTGTTGGCATTTGGACGGACGGCTGAAGCTTCCAGCCTGGAATCCACAGACGTGAATACTTTTCCATGGTCGTCATTAGAGCCTTACTGCTCCAAGTGTGACCCATGGAATAGTTTAACATCAAGATCACCTTGCTCTTGTTAACTATTCAAAGCTGCCGGCTCTACTTTGCTATACAGAAATCTTAACAGTGCCAAACCTTAACAGCTCAAAGGGTTCTGTCACCTAATGCCCAGCAAGAGAACTAAACAAACACTACACAGTCCCCTGCAGCCCAAGGCTGGATTTCCCCTCAACCTGGGAGAGATCAAGGCTGCCAAGACAATTTAGCATTTGTCCCAGCCAACGCATTAACCATAGGCAGCTAAAGTCCCTTTTCATAGGACACTTATTTTAAGCAAGGACTCTACTACTGAACTCTATCCCTAGGCAGAATATTTTTTATAAGATTTACAATTGTTAGGGTTGAGTGAAGTAACTCCGTCGGTAGCGTGTTGCTTAGCATACATGAAACACTGGGTTCCAATCCCAGTACCAAATAAACGAGGTCTAGTAGCACAGGCCTCTCATCACTTGGGAGACGGAGGCAGGAGGATAGCAGGAGCTTAAGGCCCTCTTTAGCTACATAGTTTTTAGGTCTCAAAGAAACCCGGGACAAGTCCCACCCAGTGTCTGTGTGTGTCTTCTCTCAGCACTTCTCACCCCTCCCCTTGCCTAAACCTCTCCCTCCCAGGGGCTGCACTTCCCTTCCCTTCCCCCAGCCTGATCCCCAGATAACCCAATCATTTTGGACATGAGGTGTCTTGGTCTCCTGCCTCACTCTTGGCTTCTTGGCCACCGCTCCTCTTTTGCCGTCTTCCCCACTCTCTTGTATCTTCCTCTCATGCTCTCCCCCACCACTCTCTCCTCTCATGGCCTGGTTCAGTCTAGACCCTCCCAGCTGCCACTGGGTCTGCTCTCCCTCATATCTACAATAAGCCATCGCCTCCATCATACCTAGAGGCAGTTATGTCCTAATTTATCATTCAATAGGGAGTTTGAGGCTAGCCTAGGATACACGAGACCCTGTCTCAAGAAAAAAAAAATCACTTAAAATTTATAGTTGTCAGTCCCTTATCTCTTTGAGACACCTTACAGAGTGTCTGTAAGGACCTGAGAGCCACATAATCAAAGTATAGTTATCAAGAAAGGTATGATAATTCTTAGACCCATGAGAGGCTAGAAGCTATTCAAACACATGCCCATCACCAAACATAGCCTGATCACATTAACCTGGACCAATTTTTGTAATTACAATTACAGGGGATCTGATGCTGTCTCCTGACCTCCTCAGGTACAGTATACACATGGCACACAGAGATACATGAAGGTACAACAATCATACATGTAAAATAATAATTAGAAAAAATAAGGGGCTGGAAAGGTGGCTTACTGGTTAAGAGCACCTTCTGCTCTTCCAGAGGACTTAACTTGGCTTCTAGCGTCCACATGGTAGCTGATAACCACCTGTAACTCCAGTTCCAAGGGATTCAACAACACTCTCTTCTGGCCTCTTCATACATCAGGAACCACCTCAATATACCTGCAGACACACACACACACACACACACACACACACACACACAGTAAATCTTTAAAATAAATAAACCAAATTCCCAATAATGTCTATGCAGATCAGTGTTGATTGTGGGTCTGTAGCCATGATTATGCTCATTGTCCTATAAGGAGAAGGAAATATACCTCAACTGCCTTTAGCCTCCAGCTTCACGTCTCTCTCTTCACGAGATGCTCCAGTGGAGCGCTGGCATCCTACTCGCCAAGCCCTCCGGGATTCTTCATAAATACTTCCGAATGACAAGTGCAATTTTCACACCCTCTTTACCAGTGTGGAGGATGCAGCTTTGCTTAAAGGCACACACAAGGACTAGGGCCCTCTCCACTCATCCTTGTGCGGTTTCCACGAGGCCACACTAAGTGGAGAGAGGACTGTGTGGAAACTGAGGACCAAGAGCACACGGCTGGTGGATGAGAAACCAGTAAGATGTGTGCATTCATCCGTGAAGTGTGCTTTTCTAAAATTTGTGTGCATTAGTGTGTGTGTGTAGAGGCTAAAGGTGGAGGCTAGGTGCCTCCTCTACCACTCTCTCCACTTTACTTTTTTGTTCTTTTTCCTTCCTTCCTTCCTTCCTTCCTTTTCTTTCTGTTTTTTTTTTTTTTTTTTTTTTTTTTTTTTTTTTTTTTTTTTTTTTTTGGGTTTCTCTGTGTAACAGCTCTGACTGTTTTGGAACTCACTTTGTAGACCAGGAGGGCCTCGAACTCACAGAGATCTGCCTGTCCCCCAAGCGCTGGGAATAAAGGCATGCACCGCCATGCCCAGCTTTCACCTTACTTTTCAAACAGGTCTCTCAAAGCTCATTGAACACAGAGCTCACCTACTGGGTAGACTGGCTGGCTAGCAGCCTCACCCTCCCTACCCCTACCCTACCCCAGCCCTCCAGGTTCCTCCATGTTCCACCTTTCATTACTTTATAGGCAGCCACACCCAGCTTTTTTCATGGGTGCTGGGAATCTAGATCCTTAAGCAAGCACAACAAACATTTTGCCCATGAGGCATCTCCCTTTTGCTTTTTGGCGCAAGAGAGAACTGTTTTTGAGCCCTCCAGTGTCTTTGGGGCCTCCAAAAAACCTATTTACTTATCTTATCAAGTACCAGAGGCCCAGGGAATACAGCTTCTGGGAAAAAAGTCATATCAACCCACACAGGGACTGGAAGGACGTTGCCTCAGACTACAGAACCATGAACAGCATGGGCTGTGCACCGTCCATGTCGCCATCCCCACCCAAAGTCAGACCCCTGTTTGATCTTGGTCCTACACCATCCCCCTCATTCCATCTGCATACTCAGTCCCACCTTGCCTCCTTTCCTGGCTTGACTGCTGGCCTGTCTGCTCCCCTATTTTCCTAGAGGACAGATTCTAGCCTGGTCCTCCTCTGACTCCCACACCCACCTCTCTGCCACTGGACTACTTGGTGTCTTAGTGGAGGAAGGCAGGAAGACTCTCCTTGGGGCTGCTGACTTTATACTTCTTTTGGTTTGTTTGCTTCAAGACAGGGTTTCTCTGTGTAGCCCTGTTTGTCCTGGGAAAATCTGTAGACTAGGCTGGCCTTGAAATCACCGAGATCTGCCTGCCTTTACTTCCGAGTGCCGGGATTAAAGCATATGCCACCACTGCCGGGCTCTGACCTTATACTTCTGAGACAAAAATTCAAATTCAGCAAATGGGTGGAGTTATATCTCATCTTCAGGATGTCCTCCTTTTTCTGGTTGACCAGATTAGGCCATAAGAACAATATGAAGGGAGTTGTCAAATTTCAATGCTGAGATCATTCCTCCCGAGAAGACAGCCTAACTACTAACAAGCATGACAGAATACATCTTTCTGACCATTTTTAACCCCATTAGGTCACGGTCACGTGAGCTGCCCTTCCTTACTCCCTCCCAGGAGAATACTGAGTTTTCACTGCTAGCCAACAATATGGTGACACTTTTTTTGTTACTCATCAATAAAGAATCTTGTGACTTGCTAGCTGTGGTGGCTAGTGTCTGTAAGACCAGAACATGAAACTGAAGCAAGAGGAACGAGGAAAAGAAAAACTTGTGTACAAAGGAAATTTCTGATGCATGCTTTATTAGAGCCAAAGGTGACAGCTTTGTCCACTGAAACAAATTTCTGAGTTCAGAAGAGAAGACCACAAGAAATTTCACTTTGTAATTTTCCTTTATCAAACTATCCAGGAACACAGCAGTTGCTGTATGTGGTCCATTGGCATTACATAACAAGCTGTTAACAGAAAACACACCGAACAAAAAGCCTTATATTCTCTAATTGTCAAGTTAATCACCAACTTCTCTTAGATATGTGTGTGTGTGTGTGTGTGTGTGTGTGTGTGTGTATCCAACCCAAGGGCCTTGTGGTGTTAGGTAAATGTTCTACCACTGAGCTGTTTCTTAGTCCCACTTTTCTTAGATTTTAGATTTTTTTCTTATATACGATAATAAAATTCACTTCAAATACTAGCAATCAGGCTATATCATTTGAAAGGAGGTGGAACAGTCAACTTTAAGCCTTGGATTTTCTAGATCTTTCCTCAAATAAACTATGACTGATCTGCTAGATTTTAATCACTTTTCTCTGGGACCTACTCTGGGCCTACACAGAAGACGATACTAATATATCACCAATCCCTAGTGAATATGGTCCAGCAGCTCCTAGCTCTTGGAAGCACAGCTCATTCAGTGAAGACGCGTGAAGGTCCTGTTCTCCCCCAGTCAGCTGTTGTACATGATCAGCTTTTCCCTGAGGCTGGATTCTGTGGCTTGATCTTCTTTACAGCTTCCAGAACAGAGAATGGGTTCACTTTGTCTCCAAACTCTTTTTCTCGGTGCTCAAGAAGGACGCCCTACAGCAGAAACAAGAAGGGATGTCAGTTTTCAATCATGATGCGGACTCTGAACTTCTGCTGTCCATCAAGCCCTGTGATAGGGCAGCCGAGAGCCCAGCACTGAATGAAACCCACACCTGCCCTTGAGGAGGCCAGGCTTCTGAGGAAGGGGACTGAGGAATCTACACCCCAGTATTTGGGACACAGGAAGCCAGGATGGATGGAAGACTTCCTGGATGACAGGCAGATAAAAGTCTATCACCCCGGGAGAGAAGAGAATGAAAACATAAATATCCTACAAAGTATAGCTCAGAGTCCACATTGATGGGTGCTAAATGACCATCTGAGATAGCAGACCCCTTTAATCCTCTTAAGAAACTGGGGTCACAGCTGGGTGGTAGTGGCCCACACCTTTAATCCCAGCACTCGGGAGGCAGAGGCAGGCGGATCTCTGTGAGTCAGAAGCCAGCCTGCTCTACAGAATGATTTCCAGGATAGGTAACAAAGCTACATAGAGGATCCCTGTCCCGAAAAACAAAAACAAAACAAAACAACTGCAAAAAAAGAGAAAAGAAACCAAACTGGGGTCACACTTCCAATACTGTGAAGGAAACACAATATCACATAGGACATAGGACATCCCAGTTTCTCTGAAGTAGTAAAATGATATCAGGAATTGTCAGAGTTCTCTAACTAAATGTATCTGGACACTAGCCTTACATTTAAAATGATCTGTAAGGTGTTCTATCATTATAAAAACAATAACAACAAAAACAAAGCAAAAAGCAAAAAAGAAGTTGGGTTCAGAAGAAGGCTTGTCCAGTAGAGGCACTTGCAATATACAGGGCTAATAACCTGAGTTTAGACCCTGGATCTTAGGAGGGAGGTGAGAACTGACTCCTGAGAGTTGTCCTTTGACTTCCACACATGCATTGTGCATGCACATTGCTGTACACACACACGCGCGTGCACACACACACACAAAAATAAATAAATAAACAATAATTAAAACCCCATCCTGCTGTGTTTACTATTGGGAAGTGAATGATGAAACTGCAATTACTTGCTCAATAAGCCAAATGCAGGCAGTGAAAATTCAGGGAAGAATATATAATGGCGCGGGAAGCAAACCCACTGCCGTCAGCTGACAGGAAGGCTCCACCCACCTTCCACTAGTTTGTTCTTTTTGGAATCTCTCTGGTATATGCATTTCTTTAAAGTAGGAATCACAAATCATTATTTAAAAAAATTCATACCTAGAGGCACTTGACATAACAGGGAGGCAACAGCCACCTCCACTAGGAACCCAGGTGAGTCCTGATGCCCGCCATCCCAGTTCACCTTCTACCTTTCCAGAAACTCCACAGAGAACCAACACCCACCTAAGGATACCAGGAATGTGCGAGCCCAGCCATGAGTACCAAGTGAGTCATCACCAGGCAAGAAAAGGCTAGCAGCTGTGCCAAGCCCTGCCCTAGGGGCCACCACAGGAGGCAGAGGGAAGACAATGAAACCCCACAGGGCCCAGAGTGGGCAGGGCGGGCACCTTGGAGGGTCATGTGGGCCCGGTCACTGAGGACCACAGCTGAGGACAATTGTAGACAATCTGTAGGCGGTATCCTTCTATATTCCTGGGTTTAGTTTTTCCTGTGCTGCTTACCAGCGGTGCCTCTGGCTGACTTGCTTGCTCTCTCTAGGACCACTTTCTTACACAGAGATGGAAACGAGAAAAGCTAACATCCTAGACTGGTCATAGGGAAGACATGACAGGCAGGTGCTTTGCAGCCGTTACCATTAAGACACTTGGTATGTTTACTAGAAATCAACAGACAGAACTATGCCAAATTCAACACCGTTTAATACTAAATTCTAACATGAGTAAGTAAGAACAATTACCAATGCCATTTTTAAAAGATTAGAAATAAAGATTAACAGTCAAAGATTTTGGTTCTCATTCTTATTTCTCTTATATTGTGAGGTCCAACAATGCAGACTAAGGCTGCTTTACTACAGAAACAAAACACCAAAGATCCAACCACTCCGTACACATGTGCATGTCATAACCAGGTCTTCCTTCTGTGACCCATGCCTGCTATATAGTGCACTGGAAGCCCCAAGGCCCAATGTGGGGTGTCCACCTGCCTCCCAGTCCTCCAGGGACCTCATCTCTCTTTCCCCTTCTCTTCCTCAGGGTCCCCACATTGATTCTGGGCCCTCACTACCAGGACTCCTAACACCCTATCCATAGAGGAATAGGTTCTCTCTCTAGGCACAGCCCTGGTGCCAAGATCTCCACAGGAAAAATACAGTGGTCTCTCTCATACCTCCTTGTCACCCTTCCTCATCAGGTTGCTTTTGTTTGTTTATTTGTTGTTTTTCAAGATAGGATTTTTCTGTGTAGCTTTGGAGTCTGTCCTGGCACTAGCTCTGTAGATCAGACTGGCCTCAAACTCACAGAGAACTGCCTGCCTCCCAAGTGCTGGGATTAAAGGCATGCACTGCCACTGCTCAGCCAGACTGCTTTTATCTATCCCTTCTCCTCTCTGCTTTTCTCTTTATTCATCCTTGATGGTTTGGGAACATCCCAACTGAGTATATTCATCAATAGAATAAAAGTGAGATATCTGGCTGAGAACAGAAACACAACTTGAAATGAGAAAACCTGGGCTCAGGTCCCTGCAGTGCCGCGCTGGACCAAGCACCTTGGTATAGCTGCTTACTTCCTCTCAGTCAAGGTTGCCTCCTGCAGCGTGAGCATCAGGACTGTTTCCTAGCCTGACTGTAAAGTGTGTGAGAGGCCAGCATACGGTAGACTTGTGACCAGCGACAAGAGCTGGGAGAAAGGATGGGCGACTCTAGACATGGAGACCCCACACCCAATGCCTGCCCCTCTCCGGATCTGGCCTCAATTCCACAGATCTTCCGCAAACACAGATCCTACCTGTTTTCCAGGTCCTATCACAAAAACCCCTCCGAGGATGAAGCCTTCGCCTTCTAGGTTTCCAGAGAAGCCTCCATTCCAGGCCCGGAAGGAGTTGTACCACACACCCAAACGGATGAGGCCCATGAACATCATCTTCCTCCTCTCTGGACCGTAGAATTTTTTCTAGGGAGCAAGAAGACCTTGTGTGAGCAGTCTGTATGTTTTTCATCCCCAGGAAGGATGCCAAAAGCCCCAGAGCCTGTCTAACACATGACTCCACCCAGGGACATACTAAACTGCCTAGGGAAATAAAAATTTGCCAGCTCTGATTTAAGGAAAAAAGAAAAAAAGAAAAGAAAAAAGAAGAAAAAAAGCCTTTTTTTTTAAAAAAAAAAACCCAAACTTTATGTTATTTTTATGATGCAGGGATAGAACATGGAGCCTTGCATTTGTGAAGCACTATACCACTGAGGTCAACTTCAGGTCTCAAGGAAGCTCCAATCTAGGGAAATAACTCTGCCCCCACCGTCTCTCTCCTTACAACATTGTGCTGGGGAAGAGAAGGGAGGCACAACTGCATAAATTAAGGGGCAGGGGTTCATGCCAAGGGGCTGGAGTTTGCTGCTGTTTCCACCCTCCTGGGTCAATTAAAAAGAAAGCCTTAGAAATAACAGCCAACAGCCTTCCTGAGTTTGCCTGCGCTGTGCTCTGAGAGCTGGGGGACCCTGCCAGCTCAGGCAAACAGAAGGGGAAGGCCCTCCTCCAGTCCCAGGCCAGCGACCTCTTCCAGATAAGTACCATACCTCCCAGCCTAGGGCCCACAAGCCTGTAACATACTCTGTCTTTCTGCATTTTATTTCTAACTGTGTTTATACATGCATTTGTGTGTGTGTGTGTGCAGTGTTCACAGAGGCCAGAAGAGGGCACTGGACCCCCTGGAGCTGGCTTTGCAGGCTGTGGTGCTGGAAACTGAATGAGGGGCCTTTGGAAGAAGAGGAACGTCTTTTACACACTGAGGTTTCTCTCCAGTCACACACACTCACCTTTTCATCCAGGAAGATTTCCCCTTTGAAGTAAGGCTGGAAGTCCTTCACTTCTGCCTTAACCTGCTCCTTCACCACAGCATAGAGAGGGACACCTAGTTCATCCAACTGGGGCTTCAGGGAGGACAGGTCTGCTGCCTCCTATGGAAGACAGTTCAGGGACATGAGCACTTGAAGAGGTGATGTTAAAACAAATAAACAAACAAATGAAACAACAAAAACAACAACAACAAATCCAAACCACTGCCCAGGGCATGGCTGACACTGAGCAGAGGAAGAAAGATGACAAAAATCCCAGAGACAAGTCAGGTCTTGTAGCCCATCATGTGTTAGACACCAGGCCTCAGGACAGGGTTTCAGGTGGACTCCCAGCCCAGGCTTCTTATCTTCTCAAAGTGGGAAAGCGAAATATGCCCAGGGAGTCTCTGGAACAGTGGCTGTCCCAAACATGTCCTTTATGCTCAGTCAGGACAAGTTTTCCTACCTTGTATACTAACCCAAGGGTCTATCAGACATATGTGTGAAGGCCATGCGACTGTGGCCTCCAAGCTTCAATGCAAGGCGATCCCCTCCATTCCCTCCTAGATATCTCCTTCTCTTTCCAGCTCTAATCTAACCTACTGGAAAGGTATCTTTGTTCTAGAAAGGTCTCCTGGACCTGTCCCTACGTCTCAAGTATGTTCTCTGCCTTCTCTCTCTCTCTGTGTATGTGTGTATGTGGTTTTTCATTTGTGCTAAGCCTTCATGTCATCATCATGCATTATCACTCGGATTCCTAAGTATGTCTCACTGCTAGACATTCTGTCTTTTGTTTCATAGTGTCTAGAATGTGGCTGGATGTTCGAATGTCCTGAATGTATGGCAGGAAGAGCTGAAGATGTTCAATGGGAAGATGTGGCAAAGTTGAATTGGTACACACATCTTTGACCTTCATGAACCATGTTCTGGAAGAATAAACAATACCGCATAAATCATGGAAAAGCTTTAACCTGAAGAACCACTTCCTTTTTCACATAAGATGCTGTAATTAAAGAATCATCAGGAAGTTCTTTTAAATGTAGCTGGCCCACCTCAGATACAAATACAATGTAACATGAAAGCAACTATGTTTCCTAGAATAAGAGAAGCATAGCTAGACAAAACAGGATTGATTATAACATAATTTCATAAAGAACTCTACTGAGTAGCAAATTTTGACTGGAGCAGAAGAGAGGGGCTGTTGTTTCTGATATGGTTGAAGACCACCTGTTGGAAATGAGGTTCACTGCTTTTCCTGGGCTATTTCCTCTGGGTATGTCACCCTCTAAAGCCCTTGAGAGGAAATAGAGTCCTGTAACTCCTGCCCATGTGTCTGTTGAGTCACTTGTTTCTATCCACTCAGCTTTCTGGACACTGTAAGTTTCCACTGAATGCTGCTCCAGGGCACAGAGCAGAACACAGGAAAACTGGCTGTAGTGACCAAGAGCTGTGGCTCCTGGGACCCCTCTCTGTGTCACTGACTTCAACAGATCATGTCAGAACAGCATTTCTGCTGGTGTCTGGAGGCATCTCAGAATGGGAATCAAGAGCTCCGAGTTTATCCTCCACCTCCAAGATGAAAGAAAATAACAAACCCGTAAAGATGGCCAGCTTTGAATGCCTGTGACCTGTCACATGGCTAGGGGGACTGAGACTGACAGGAAACAGCTTGGCGATCACCTGGCCTTAAATGAGGAAGGCCCTATGCTAACTGGATGGGGCCAAGGCCATCACTGGGGTCTTGGATGGAGGAGGGACAGAAAGTTAGTATTTAGGGATGTGATGCAACAATGGGTGAGCAGCAGTTGCTGACTTTAGAAACACAGGGAGAAATCACAAGCGAAGAAAAGTGGTGGGCTCTGGAAGAGTGGAAACGGCAAGGAAATGGACATCCTCTGCAGTTTCCAGGGGAATGCAACCAGATTCCATTTGGGAATTCTGACCTCCAGCCTGTAAGCTAACTGCTGTGAAAGCCACCAGATGTGTGGCATTTTGCTACAGCAGCAATAAGTGAGCACACAATAAGCGGGCAGCTTGGCTTTGTGGCAACCTCTGTACCACTGTCCTGTGTAGAATGACAATGGTGACAACAGGTTGCATTGCTAAGATGCCCTTGAGAAGCCCTGCACAGGCTGGGATGTGGCTCAGTTGGTAGAGTGCTTGTCTTGCATGCACGAAGCCTTGGGTTCAATCCCAAGCATTACAGGAAATTGGACATGGTGGTACATGTCTGAAATCCCAGCACTCAGGAAATGGAGATGGGAAGACCAGAAATTTAAGGGCTACCTTGCAAGTGGAGTCAGTCTGGGCCACACGAGAACCTGTCTTAAAAAAACTGGAAAAGAGGGGCCTGGCAGGTAAGGAGCTGCAAAGGCTGTGTACTCAGCAGCATCCGTGGATTCTGTACCACACATACACAACAGAAAGAAATCTTTTAGTGGTGGGCCAGGCTTCCAGAGAAATGAGAGTGATGACCCTGACAGGGAGGAGCCAAGGGATTTGAAGGGCAAGAGAACCCTATTCAATTTTCTCAGCTCTCCAGACCATTATTTCGACAAGTGTCCATCTATGCTGACCAATAGGAACTCAGAATTTGCTCCTGCTGCTCTTCTAGATCTAATGAAAAGGTGGGGAAGGACATGGCTGCTACCATACTGGGCAAAAGGTCTGAAGGACAAAGAAAGCAGACTTGTTACTAACCCCACCAGGATATACAGAATTGTTAGGGAAAAACAAAAAACAAAAAACAGAGCAAATGTCAAAACAAATGCAGAGAGCAAATAACAGAAGCATCCAGAACTGACAGAAGGCTCAGAAGCACACATAAGCCCTTTGGTCTTGGCTGGAAATACTCCAGACCCCACTGTCAGATGCTTCCTTTCCAAGAGATCCTCAAAGGCACTCACCGCTCGACAGAGGAAACAGCCCGGCCTTCGCACAGCCATAATTACAGCCCCATTCTTCTCCCATAGCTCCTTTGCTTTGAATGTCCTTGATTCTGAAAGAGAAGAAGGAGAGTTACGAACTCCTCCTAGGCCTGCCTAGGAGGCCTAGACACTCCTGAACCACACGGAGCCAAGCTCAGGCCAGAACCCAGCCTAGAGGGGGCCAGGATGAGTACTCCACACCTAAGAGAAGAAAGCAAGCACAGAGAGGGAGGACTCACCTTCCCAAAGAACACTAATAAGGCTTAAGGACCCCATCATACACTCCAAAGATCCCTCTCCCACAAAATTCAGTGTTCCACTAGAACATCCAAATTGCACTAATTTCTAGCAAAATTGGCAAATTCCACTTATGGCTAGCAGCACTGGACACTAATAATTCTGTGGGGCCCAAACTAAGTTTTATATTTTGATATCCCTCCCAAAAGTACCCTTAAATGCATATTAAAAGAAATGAACAATATTTAAAAAATTGTTGTCTTTATCTTTTATAGTTTTTCAAGACAGGGTTTCTCTATGTTGACCCAGCTTTCCTGGAACTTTGAGATCAGCCTACCTCTGCCTCCTAAGTGCTAGGAACAAAAGTGTGAGCCATGATCTCCCAGCAAAATCAACATTTTTAAAATTTAAATTGGTCTAAACATGTTAGCTCCAACGCTTGCACTACTGTAAACAGAATAAAGTAGAAGACACCCAACAAGGAGATGCTTGGGAGAGTTAGTGAGGACTCATTAAGGATGAGTCTTAATTGTTCTAGTTTTCTCCAGAGGTACCCAAGTACCTGTGAAATGCAGTGTGAACAAAAACAGGGAGAGGGAGGCTGCCATCACGTGAGGTTTTGGAGACTGAACAAAGCTTGCAGGAGTCTCTCTGCACTGTCCTAAGGTTGCCTGCCTGGGTAAGAACCTCCACACTCCTGCCTCCCGAGGCCAGCTCCCTCACCAAATGGGGTAATGATGATGGCTTCTCTCTGGGAGTACTAGACAATGGACCACCCAACAGTGAGCCCTCGGGTGTACCAAGAAATTCCTGCCGCAAATGGACATGACTGAAGCCTTAGCTCTGTGTGGAATGCACCTGGCGTGATGGAGTGAGGCTCACAGCTCTTGCCATGAATTCCAGGTGGGCCCCTGAGGACGGGTACAGAGGGCCCTGTCTGCAGCTTCATCACAGGATAACCATGAAGTACCAGTGGCTCTCCAGATCCCCCACTTACAATGTACAAATCCTTACTATGTAGCAGGCCCAGTATCAAGCATCAGGAACACAGAACTGGATAAGCAGTGTTTCTTGAGCTCATTCAACTCAGACAACCCTATTCATTTTATTTTATTCTTTATGACATTATCAGAAGACTTGGAATTCCTCAGAATATTCTCTGGCTTATTAAGTGATGGTAAAATATTACTAAATATTACGGAGCAATTTATCATCGCAGTTAAGGCAATAGTAATAGAGAGTGAAAAATGACTTTGATAAGAAAAAGATAAATTAGACAATAATACCCAGATTACATTTATGTGACTATATGTAAGCATAGAAAGGAATACAGCAAAGTAAAAATGACTGTGTTAGGGTGGTATAACTATTGGTAATTTAAAAACTGTTATTAGATTTTCCTCTAATATTGCTTTAAGAAAAAGAAATGATTTTAGGAAGGAAACGAAAGAGGTTAAACATGCATCCCAGCACCCTGGAAAAGTACCGAGGCTGGCAGTCACTCATTACCTTTCCCCAGCGTCTTCAGGTCTATGTCTTCCAGATATTCCAGCTCTGCTTTCCGGGGCTTGGACAGAAACATATCCGTGTTGGCCAGGAGTACTGCCAGAGCAGCGGCCCCCAGGGCTCCCGCACCAATGGACCACATGCCCATGGTGAAGAAACTTGCGTCCTGGAGGAAAGACATGTCTGGAGATTGAGAAGAAGGAAGATGTTACTGTTCCCACAGGACAGCTGGAATCTGACCTCCTGCCCAAGACTCCAGTGGGCAACGGGCCAGGGGCCCAGGGGAGGAGGGGCTGAAGCAGGGAAACACGAGACTGGTCAGAACCGCTCAGCTGCTTGTCTCAGCCTCATTGTGAGAGCGTGGGAAAAGCACAGACACGTGCCGGTTTGTGCCCCGAGAAGCTCACTCACTCAGGCATCAGGAGTAATTAGAGAAATGACAGTCTTCTAGGAGCCTCTCTAGCGCCTCTGCCGCACTGAGCCTGTCCCATAGTCCTCTCCTCACCAAGCCTCGTTCTCTTTCACAGCACAGGTAGTAAGTGACTCAGCTGTCACCCCTCTGGGTAGGGACAGCTTTCTCATCTGCGATCAGAGGATTCCTGTTTTGTTGCCCCGTCTTCCTCTTGAGTTTAAGAAATCTCCGAGAAACAAGGGCGACATTCTACTCATCAAAGCCCCAGCCACTGCCCAGCAGGGCCTCACTCAGGGTAGACAGTTAATCTCAGTCAATTTCTCCCAGCTGAGAATAGCTTTCTCACTCATTATAGAAATGAAACAGGCTTCCATTGAAAAGAAAACAAAAAACAGTTTCAGCTGCACCAGTGCATAAAACCACAGCTGACGAGAAAGTCAACACTCCCTGAAGCCTACCACCTGGAGATGGCCACTGCTAAAAACACGGGTATCTAAGAGGGCATCCTTCCCACAGCCCTGCCCCCATGCACACACACGAGAACAAAACTGCAGGGATATTTGCTGAATGAATGGGAGAGCAGGGAGTAGGGTCTGTGTCACATCACAAGGAGCAGAATTTTTCAGAGGAGGCTGAGTCAGAGGTGTATGCATAGAGAAGGGGACCCTATGGAATCTAGCCTTATTCCCAGCTGGGGCCTGGTTACCTTACTAGTAAGGCTCTCTGTAGCAGGGTATCCTTTTGTCTCTGGGTGGCAAATCCAGAATCATCCCTGTTGTAGGATATTGGTACACTGGGTGAAGATAAATTGCTGTGACTGGTTTAATAAAGAGCTGAACGGCCAATAGCCATTAGGGCAGGAGGTACAGATGGGATTTCTGGGCAGAGAGAGAGGAAGTAGGAGATGATCAAGGCACAGAGGAGTCACCAAGGAGACGTGGAAGGAGTTGGACATACCGAATGAAAGAAAGGTAAAAAGCCACATGATAAAACATAGATTAATAAAAGCATGCCAAATTTAAGTTATAAGAGCTAGTGGAACAAGCCTAAACTAAGGCCAACCTTTCATAATTAATAGTAAGTCTCCATGTTGTTGTTCATGAGCTGGCGGGCCAAAGAAAAACCAGACTACACATCCCATCCCGAAACAGCAGTAGTCCATCCAGCCTGCCTTCTCCTGACAACTCCCTGTAGCCCCAGCGTTTCTGCTGGCTCTCACGCCACCCTAAGTTCTCACTCACCCCGATACTTCCCCACGTTCTTCTCCCAGCTTGACTCTGTATGCTTGGATGACTGGAGACAAGACAGGGACAGTAATTACCCCGAAAACACTTATTCTACCCTGCAAGTTTTGGCCTCAAAAGTTCAAATTTGAGTTAAGAAATAAAAGAGAGGCTAGGTCTAGTGGCACTGGCCTGTACCTCAGCTCTTCAGCAGGATGAGACAGGGGGACACTATCAAGGTCATGGTCATCCTGGGAAATTTATTGAGTCGCTGTCTCAAAGTAAAAAGAGGATGGGACTAGAAAACTTGTCTAGCACAAACAAGGTCCTAGGTTTAATCCTCAGTACCATTAAAATTAAATCAACCAATTAATTAATTGAAAGAGAACTCCAGGCAAGGAACGGCCAAATAAATATGACCTTAAAAAAAAAAAAAAGAGGAACCTGGTACTGATACACTCGGGAAAAGGGAAAGCAGAGGAGGCCAGTGTGGGTGTTGGAAGGAGTGGTGGCTGCCACTGTATCGCTGATGCAAGGGATTTCAACTGGGAGGGAAGGCTTACTTAGAACCACACAAAGTGTGGTCTATGGTCAATGGCTTACCACAGACAAGTGCTGAAATGAATTCAATACAGTTGAGTGATGAACATGACTTATGTACAATCAAGTTCTTGGGCAAAGCCGGAAAGAATGTTCCACAGGCCTGCTTCCAATTTTTCTTTGGCAAAGTTACACATTACTGGATTATAGTTCGCAGAACAATTGGGAGGGAATCACAGCTCCCAGACACCTGCTCTATACAGGAGCATCCACACAGCCTGGAAAAATGCTGGTGCTCTTATGCCTTTTACAGCAGTTTTGGATTACAAGCCAGTATACTTAACGCAGGGGCACACGAGTGCTGTCATCTTGTGCACAGATGTGCTAAGCATTTCTGTAAGAGGAGGCACAGGCCATCTTACATCTACCCTACAAATGGACTCCTGGAACCTAGTAGTGCATTTGGGGAGTCCAGGGACCCCCTCTCCTATCAACACAATCCTATTGAACTCTTGGAGGCCCCCAGGCTACATTTCCCCACCATCCAATGGCAAACATTTGGCTTGTTTGCTCAGTGATCACATCTAGGGAATTCAACTAGACTGAACACTTATTTTCATAATTTATATAGTACCGGCTGGTTGACTAAATGGCAATTTGGGAGAACTAAGTATGAAACATGATCCTTAAGAAGACATAGGCTCAGTTCACAGAGTAACGGGAAAGTCGGTAGGAAGGTTAGGCATCTTGGCTGAGTAAGAACACTTGGGTTGTGGGGCCACAAGGAAGAAAGCCAATCTGGGCAGCCACAGAAACAGAGGGAGTGGCTTTGGAATTGGTGTGGGACACAGTTCACAGTGTGAAAGTTTGGCTGGGCCAGGAATGATTGAGCCTAGCATGGAAGACTGACTCCCAGAGGGGAGAGGAAACCCAGAAGCCGCCACCCCTATAGCAGCAACCCAGTCCACCTGCTGAAAGTCACCTAAAGCACCTGTGTTTCCATGGGACTCTCATGCCATCTAGGATCTCATTTATTCCCAGGCCTCCCTAAGACCTCTTTTCATTCTGTGTGCTTAGATCACTGGGCATAGGTCAAGGATAGGATAGGAATCAGCCACCGAACAGACTCAACTCTCCCCTGCAGGAATTGATCATGCCCCAGAGACTCCCCTCTTTCCCTACCTCAACTTGGATTCAAGATGTGGGCATCAAAGCTACGCCAGGCATGATGTTTTCTTCCCTTAGGCCCTCGCCTACTGTGATCCACTCCTCTGGGGAGAGTACCCGCGCAGGCTCTGCTTTATCAGCAGTACCCTGGAAAGGCGGACTTCTCTGTGACTGGGCTCAAGCTGCTCCCACCCCAGCTGCGGCTCTTCTGCTGGTGATAAGCACGGAGAAGCACCTAGCTTCCGTACCTTAAAGTACCCTCTCTCCCAGGCAAGCCTTGGAACCGATACCGCGACAACCTGCTGCACAGACTTAGTCCCTGACTACGTTAATCCCACTCCCACAGGGAGAGATTTTTCATATCTAGATGGAACAGTCGGTGCTTTTCCACGTGTGCCTCCAAACCCACTGAGTGCAGAAGCAGGGAGACCAGTAATCCTGAATTCTCTGAGCGTCACTTGACATACTTGGCTCAAGTTCATTCTCCCAACTGTCTTGTGTAGCAAAGAATATTCTTTCTGCAGGGGCCGACACTAAGGTTCTGAGTCCACGAATTTCCTTGCTGTCACAGGGCCAGCAGGTAGCAATACTGCCATCTGTAGCAAACAGGAGAAGTTGCGCCGCAGCTGTTCCCTGCAGCCACACCTGGACTCTCTCCACACATTTGGAAGTAGATCTGTGGGGGTCAAGGGCATGAACCTCCATCTCCAGGAAAATTTCAAACAGGCAGTTTATAGCCTTCAGCCATCAAATACAGTGTCACTATGTCTGGTCTAAAGGAAATTTACCATACACCAGCTGTCCCTTCTCTTTTTCCCACTCTGTCTCTTTCTTAAGGAGGGGGCCAGTCTCTCTCTAAATGACAACTGGCAGATTGTTTACAGAAGGGCTAGCCCCACAGCTCCACGACTCAGCTCCCTAGGGTGGGGTTTATCTGATCCCCTTGTCTCCCAGAAGGTGAAGCTGGATAAGATGGCAAATAAACTGCAGCTGTCAGAGCTCAGAGTGGCAGCTCGGGTGTGGAGACGCTTGAGAGTTGGTAGAGGGAAGCCAGCTGGATTGCCCATGCCAAATGCGGCCATCTTCCCCAGGCCCATCTTCTCAACTCCAAAGTGAAGGTGTGCTACAGCTCCTCAGAGCACAGGGACATTGTCTGATGCCAACACAAACAGCTCTCTCTGGAGCCCCAACATTCCTGCTCTTCATTAACCTAACCCCACCTTGGCCCACTGCCCATTCAGGCTTTATCCAGCTTGGCTGCCCCCCTCCCCTATATCCACCGATCAGCAGGCTAAACCTGGAGCTGCACTTACCATCTGCGGCGTCCACACCTCTGCTTCTGCTGACAAGTGGTTCTGGCTCACAGGGTGTGCAGGCCGGGTGAGCAGGCACAGGGAGAGTTGGAGGTGGGGCTTTGGCGGCTTAGCCACTCCACAGGCACGACTGGGCCACACAGAAACCCTAGGGCTCCTTCAGCTGCCAATGGTTAATCTCCAGAAAACATCGAAGTGGCCAGCTGCCAAGGCCCCCTAGCCCTTCAAAAAACTGAGCAGAGATTTGAGTCATTTGCAGTCATGCAGACTGTAACATTTCCCAAGGGCCAGCAGACTCCCCCTCTGCTATGGGTGCACTGTCAGTCAGGCTCTTAACACAGGCCACATGGCAAAGTCACAGCATCAAAGAGACAGGTCCTTTTGTCCATGGTTCTTTGTGTGGCCTGCTCTGTACCCACTTAAGTCTACATCCAGGAAGTCAACTGGACAACCAAGGAGCCTTGGTATCTATCCATCACCTCTCTTTTCCCCTTTCTCTGCCGTTTACAGAACCCCTATACCCTTCCTGCCTGACCTCATCTAAGGCCAGCACCTCACTCACTAGCTTGGCAATGCCTCCGACTTCCCATTCCTGTTACTGACTCAAAGTTTCCAGGTAGGAGGTTTATACGGATCTGTCACAGTACATCCAAAACTGACCTCTGTCCACTATTGATTTCTCTCCTAGGGCTCCTGACTCAATGACCCAGATATCCAGACAGCTGCTCAAGCCAGAAACCTAACGTCAATTTTCCTTTCTTTGGCTCTCACTGCCTACACGTTATCAGTCAGAGTTCTGTCCATCTCTCATGGGTCTGTTAGCCTCTTCCGACCTCACGGCTACAGTCTAAGCCCAAACCCCCATTACTCTGAACTGCTCAGAAGCGGACGAACTTGGGCAGCCTTTACTTTGGTTCTTTACACATCACTCTCTATGTTGTAGCCAGAGTAGTCTTTCTTATTTATTATTTTACTTATGTGTAAGGGTGTTTGGCCTGTGTGTATGTCTGTGTACCGTGTGCAGACCTGCCTAGCGCCAGTGAGGCTAGTAGAGGGCTTCAGATCCCCTGGGACTGGAGTTTCAGATGGTTGTGAGTTGCCAGGTAGGTGCTGGAACACAAACCCAGAGAGTCTGGAGGCCCAGCCAGTGCTCTGAATTCCTGAGCCGCCTCTCTAGTCCCTAGCTAGAGTGATCTTATCACTCCTTACTTCCATTTCAGCTTCTCTTACAGTGAGCGTCTCCCCAGAGCTGACAGGGTCTAACTTCAGCCCACCATTCTGGTCTCATCCCCGGCTCCTCTAGCACCCTCACCACACTACCTGCTTGCAAGATCACACTCTTTACTGTTCATGTCATTCCTTTACCGAGAATTCCCTCGCCCTGAATACCAACTAGATGCATGCCTACCTGCTGGTAAAACCCAGCATCAACAATACATCCTGCTAAAACCCTTCCCTAAAAGCATTGCCAACTGAATGCTCTATCTGGTTACAGGGCCCACACATGTGTTAACATATGCACACCCCTGCGCACTGTGAAAAATGGGCTTCATGTGTTGTGTTTCAGTTATCTGTCTGACTTCCCAGTAGAGGACACGGGGAGATCATCACTATTACACCAACAGTGCTTACCAAGGCTCTGCTACATGTAATACAGGCAATGGAAGGTACGTGTAATTTATCAAATTTGTAATGAAGGGATCTGAATTTTACTTCTGAAGTTTCACAGTGGAGCAGAGTTGGAGCTAGCCTGTTGCTGCCCAATTTCGCCTCTGTGTGGAAGGTAATTCTGCACACTGCTAACCTGGCTTTAGAGAAGACACTCACACTTGGAACTGATCGTGCATCGAGTCCCAGCTCTGCTGCTCACTGGCAGGGGGAGCGGACACATCCGAGCCCAAGTATAGTCACTGAACAGACAGAAGAAACTAGAAATCCTCTGTCCCCACTCTCACAGTCAGACTCTGCAGCACCAATGACTACTTCTACAGGGAGAGCCTTAAGGGCACCCAGCGCTACCCAGTGTCTGCTGTGTGAGCACATTCTCACTTTCTCCTGCTGGTTCAAAGAGCTGCCTCTGGGCAGGAACCGATAAAAGTCTTAACAAAACAGAGCGTCAGCACTGGGTGGGTTAACTCACGTCTGAAACGTGTAGGGACAGCAAGACAGCCTAAACATCAAGAGAACACTGCCCTGCCCAGCCTCACCCAGGGACTCTTCCCACCTCAGAAAAAGCTGGCCTGAGGCAGACCCAGGAGAATGAAGAAAGGAAAGAGAGGGAAGGAGCAGGGAAAGAAGAGGCAGTGGTTTCCTTGCCTCAGGCTCTCAATGAACAGACTGGAAGGATGTTTCCCAGCTCTCCTCTCCTCCACCGTCCTCTGCTGTTAAAGTTCTACTTTAGTAACCCCTTTACTGAATAAACGAGGAGCAGACTAGCCCAAAGCCACATGGGTAAGAAGGGCATCAGTGCCAATGCTGGGGCTCAGGTCTGGGTCTCCCAACTCTCAATCTGAGCCAGCTTATTCTGCTTTGGTTTCCGAAGGTTCCACACACCCAGCCCCGAACCAGGGCCCTAAAGCTCAAAGAGTATGCACATACATCGGAGTCAAGTGCAGCTAGTGCTGAAACTGGATCATTGGCCTTAGGCAAGCTGAGAGCAAGACTCCTGGATGAGGCCTGGTGTTGGAGAGAATCCCAGTCTCTCCCAGGCCTAATCCCTGGCAAGCAGTTTACAAACCAATGCCAAATGTTTTCTTTAGGATCATACTGCCCATTCTCCGCTTAGAAGCAGGTCTGCATTTTTTCCTATACACAGTAACAAGGCCATGCTATTTCTAGATGCCATCATAAATGCCAGCTTAGCAGGGCGAAAACACAGGGAACAACAGGAGAGCCTTCACAACCACCTTCTGGAATTGGCAACCTACAGTGAGCTGTCATTTATTTGCCAAAACCTTCAACTTTCAGCTCTGTTCACTGGGGTGAATGCCTGGCTCTATCCCAGCCCTCCTCTGAGACACTAGGGTCGGAACCATGAACAGGCACTCAGAGGAGAAAAAGATAATACTGTCAGCAACTTGGAAACTGAGGCACAGGTACAGCGAAGAGTAAGGGGTATAGCTGACTGGGAAAGTCGTTTCCGCTCAGAAATGATTAAACCCAGGCCCCCCCCCCCCAAAAAAAAGATCTGGCCATTCAGCTGACTTTTCAGCCTCCTGCCTAGGCTTAGAAGACCTGCTCTCTCACGTTGCATGTATATGGACAGGAAGATGAGGGCAAGCCTCCAAAATGCACTGGGGTCCAGCAAACAAGTCCTAACTCCCAGTCTGGTCCTGAGAGGCCATTTTATCCCTCACCACCTCAGGATCTTCTGGGAAACAAGTTGAGTGCAGTGATGGCACATGTCTGTAATCCTAGCACTCAAGAGGCTGAGGCAGGAGGATTACTGATGAGGTCAGAAAAGGTGAGGGAGGTCATTCTGTAGGACTATCATAAGGAGTGTGCGAGAACAACACGAAAAACGGCAGCACTCTGGAAAACTTTAAAGGTTTCACATTGGGCTCCCCCCCCTTTTCTTTTAAAAAGATGAGCTCTTGATCTGTAGCCCAGGATAGCCCAGGACTCGCCACCTTCCTACCTCAGCCTCCTTTGTGCTGGGGTTTTAGGCATGCACCACCCCAATTGGCTTTAGCATTGTCTTATTGTCTTTATCTTTTCCAGGGTTTGGATCCACTGACTGTCCTAGTAGAGCAAAATACATCCCGAACATGGGACAACTTCTCCAGCTATGTTGCTGCAAGTCTGCTTGCTAGGTGGAAGTTCTAGGTCTGGGGGAGTCCTCCTCCACAGCACATACTCTGACTTAACTAGGGCTCCCCGATACTGCCTTTTGCACTGGCTGTGCCAACTGGTGGTGCCAAAGGCAAAGGGCAATACTCAGTTGTAATCTCCCTTGGCAGAGGCCACTGAGTGCAAAGGTGAGCAGGGCTCCTTCTACAGTACCTTGTACAGTTCCTGCCACACAAACCTCTGTCCAAACAAATTCTTTTTTTTTTTTTTTTTTTTTTTATTTTTTTTTATTTTTTATTTTAATTTATTTATTTATTAAGAATTTCTGCCTCGTCCCCACAACCGCTTCCCATTTCCCTCCCCCTCCCCCGATCAAGTCGCCCCCCCCCCCCTCATCTGCTCGAAGAGCAATCAGGGTTCCTTGACCTGTGGGAAGCCCAAGGACTGCCCACCTCTATCCAGGTCTCCTAAGGTGAGCATTCAAACTGCCTAGGCTCCCACAAAGCCAGTACGTGCAGTAGGATCAAAAACCCACTGCAATTGTTCTTGAGTTCTCAGTATTCCTCATTGTCCGCTATGTTCAGCTAGTCTGGATTTATCCCATGCTTTTTCAGACCTAGGCCAGCTGGCCTTGGTGAGATCCCAATAGAACATCCCCATTGTCTTAGTGTGTGACCCAAAAAGAGGAACATGGGATGTACTCACTCATATTTGGTTTCTAGCCATAAATAAAGGACATTGAGCCTATAATTCATGTTCCTAGAGAAGCTAAATAAGGTGAATCCAAAGACAAACACATAGGCATCCTCAGGAATATTAACCTTCATCAGGCGATGAAAGGAGACAGAGACAGAGACCCACACGGGAGCACCGGACAGAAATCTCAAGGTCCAAATCAGGAGCAGAAGGAGACGGAGCACGAGCAAGGAACTCAGGACCACGAGGGGTGCATCCAAACAAATTCTTAACATTGCAGAGGCAGACAGCCAATTAGCAATTGGCTAGAGAGTTATCTTTAACCTGAGATACTGACAAAGCCCGGGCATGAGCTATAGGATTCAGGGCCTAAGCAAACCTTCTGGTGCTACACAGCTTGGGACTATCATTAGAAACCAAGACTGCAATGCCAGCACTCAGAAGGCTGAGAGAGGGGCACTACAAATTCAAAGACAGCTTCTGTAAAATTAAAAGGCACCCTGACCCATATAATAAGACCCTGTCTGGAAGAAGAAAAGAAAGAGGGCGGGGGAGGAAGGGAAGGAGAAAGGGAAGAGAGAGATAGAGATAGAGATAGAGATAGAGATAGAGATAGAGATAGAGAGAGAGAGAGAGAGAGAGAATATGAATGTTTTGAACCCTTTCAGGAACAACACACAGGGTAAATGGCTTCCCTTATGAGGAAGGAGACTACTGGAAAGGCCAAACCAAGAACACACACCTAGGTCCAATTCCTCCATGTTGTACAAACCTGGACCAGGCACTGTTTTGCTTCAGTAAAATGGGAACAATTCCTGAATCACCTTCTACAGAGATGAATCAGGATTAAAGACATAGAAGATGCTATAAGCTCTTTACAAAGACTGCCAGAGATGCTTAATTCTTACTCATTTCTGGATTAGTCAACGACTACCCCAAATATACGAAACAGACTATTTTCTGATGAATATCTTCTGAGGAATCAGGGTGTGCAGTGTGAACCCCAATTTTGTCTCCAGGGCTGGGCTAAAACAGGAGCATTTAAGACACTATAAGCAGGTTCCATGACAACACTTTTCAAAATAAAACCTAAGTGATTGTTTTCTATTCAAATAGATCATCGACTAGGCTCCAAGGGGGGAAAATGTTGAAATAAAAATAAAACCCCGAATTAAGCTGATATCTAGGTAAGAGGGCTTTGAAGACAGATAGGAGGCACGGTGCCAGCAGGACTCTGGGTATGTGCCTCCGCATACCTGCCAGGGTGCACATTAACTTTCCTTGCTCTCCCTTAGGCCATTTCCACCAACTGCTTCACCGTCTAAAAACCCAGAGGATGGGCTGCCATGTGCTCTGCTCATCTCTTCACCACACCTCAGCTGTACTTTAAAATTTACAACTGGGCTTTCTAAGTCAAAGGTTGGTAACCTTTGGAAGAGACGGGGAACAGGTGCCTCTGAGACTTCCTTCCTCAAAGGGCACCCAAACAGAGACAGGACAGCCACTGCCATCCTCCGGCAGCCTCCAGAACTCCTGCCGGCGAGTTTGGACAAGAGTTTCTCAGTCCTCTGGCCCAACAATTCAGACACCCAGTTGGTACCACCAGTGCCAGTTCGGGACCGGGTATCTTGGCCCTAAGCCTGGAGTCTGTCCCAACATCTCTGGGGTGGGCGGAGGGCACCTTGGAGAGCGGCCCCAGGAGAAGGTGGAGCCGCATCCTCTATCCGTCCGCACCACTCTCCACGGTCGCGGGCTTGCCTGGATCCTCACCTGAGCCCCGAGGACCCCACCTCCGTGGACGTCACGGGCCTCGCTGAGCTGTGCCAGCGGACATAGGTGTCTCCCGCCCGCCTCCTCCTCCGCTGGAGCTCAGCGACGGGAGCCGAGGGACCCGGAGCTCTCCGCGCCTGCGCAGCTCGGCCCCCACGCCACCACGCCACTTCCACGTGACGGACATGCCCCCGCCCCGCCTGGGGTCGCCTTTGCGCGGCTCTCCTCTGCTCTCTTTTCCTTATTCTTCTTCACCCCCAAATGCTGGTTATCAGAGTAAAGAAAGGCAGCTGAGAATTGGCTCTAAGGATAATACCATTTCCTTTCAGCTTCTGAGCAACCCCAGGGCCGGTTTGTCTTCCACTCATTCGTGTTTGTTTATTTAATGTGGCTCCCAGGTGCTGGGATCACAGGCGTGCACTGCCATGCCCGGCCTTCACCCATTTTTCTCAGTCCTGTTGTAAGTGTTCGTGCAGTTTCAGGGACAGAGTTAACTGACTAATACAGAAGAGGTAAATGCAGGGGTGGGGGAGACAGAAGCAGAGAGGGGTGCCACAGCAGTTTTCAAAGAAGTGTTGAAGCAGCCACACTGATCAGAAATGGTCACTTCTTCCACAGTGTTGGGGTGTGTCCGCGTGTGTGCTGAGCTGAGCACCCGGCCAGCCAGGGTGTCCTGATTTATCACTCTTTGTCTTCTTCTCACGTTCCTCCCTGTGAGAAACGAGACCCTTGCTATATACTAACAAATTCAAGAGGCTAGGGAAAGTAAGACAGTTTTTATTTTATCCTGTGGAACTGGGTGTTATTGTAGACAAAGGCAAGAATGACTTGCCTGCCAATTTGGTGTCAAGCAGTGATTTTTACAGTCCTGATCGTAAATATTTTTGCCCCCTTTCCCATGAGCTGGGTCCTTTGGAGAGTTACAATCTTTCCCACTCATCTAGCATAGCACTCACCCCAAATTTCCCATCCCCCTAGAACTGAAGACCCTGTCATTCTTTCCTGATAGGTCACTCAGTCAGTAGCTGTCCTAGTTAGGGTTACTGTTGCTTTGATGAAACACCATGACCAAAGGCAAGTTGGTCAGGAAAGGGTCTATTTGACTTACCCTTCCACACTATAGTCCATCATTGAAGGAAGTCAGGGCAAGAACAGAAACAGGGCAGGAACCTGGAGGAAGGAGTTGCTGCAGAGACCATGGAGGGATGCAGCCTAGTGCCTTGCCTACAGCCTGATCTGATGGAGGCGTTTTCTCAATTGAGGCTCCCTCTTCCAGTTACTCTAACTTGTGACATCTAGTCAATTTGACACTCAAACACATTACTATTAAGCCACAACCTTTCCTTTCTTGTATTAATCACACATTAATATTGGTATTATACAAAATATATTGAAAACTTAAAAAGTTCCACAATCTTGCAAATTCAGATGTTTTAAAAGTTCAGTCTCTTAAAAAAATGTCTTTCAACTGTAGGCTCTATAAAAACAAGTTAAATACTTTCTTACTTCAAGAGGGAAGAACTAGGCCACAAACAAAATTCAAATCAAGCAACAAAGCAAAACCAAACTTCACCGTGTAAATAATTCAGTGTCCAAGGTTTGGGCTCCACTCATGATCTTCTGGGCTCTTCCAAAGGCTTTGACTAATTTCTCAGACTCCACCCTCTGCAGCCCACACAGATTGTCTCCAAGTTCAGGCCAGCTCCAGCCCGTACCTGCTGCTATTATTGGCAGTTGCCCCACGGTATTGACATCTCCAAAATGCCTGCAGCAACTGGGCTGCACTTTCACCAATTGCCTCTTCTGGGCTTTCTTCATTGTGCCAAGTCTCAACGTCTTTGCACGAGCTCTTCGATCCTGGGGCTTCCATAGCTAATTAAGGCTGCACCTCACCAATGGCTTCTCCTGTTCTGCCACAGTGCCAAGCCTCAGCTGCTCTCCATGGCTTCTTCACAGTTTCAAAACTGGTACCATCGTGATGAGACGTGGTGAGAAGTTCAACTGCTCGTGTGAGGTACAACCTTGGAGCACAGCTCCAAGGAGCTCAGGAGCACAGCTTCTGTGTGCTGATTCACATCAGTGATAGGCTCTCTTCTCATCCTCCTAACTTCTCAAGTGCAGGTAGCCAGCGTTAGTGTTCCAATATTATTTCAGTGATGCCGGTCTCTTATTGGTCACAGTTGATTCGTCAGCCCCAGCTGATCCGGACCACAGATACTTAATTCAAAATATACAATATCCACCACAGACTCCTTAAGTGTCAAACATCCCTTTGGAATTCCATAGTCCAGGCCTCCATCCTCCGTATTTCTCTCAACATTCTTGTCTTCCATGCTCCCACGGAGCAGCTCAACAATATTTGAACACTCAGTGGCTTTTTGAGCCCAAAGTTCCAAAGTCCTTCCACAATCCTCTCCAAAACATGGTCAGGTCTGCCACGACAACACTCCACTATCCTGATAGCATAGGATTACTATTAATTAGGATTACTATTGCTAGGATTAAATATCATGAGTTAAAGTCAGCTTGGGAGGAAAGGGTTTATTTGGCTTACACTTCCACACTATAATCCATCATTGAAGGAAGCAAGGGCAAGAACTCAAACAGGGCAGGAACATGGAGGCAGAAGCTGATGCACAGATCACAGAAAGGTGTTGCTTAGAGACTTGCCTACAGCCCTATTTTATGGAGGCTGCGGTGGTTTGAAAGAAAATGTCCCCCCAAAGGAGTGGCACTATTAGTAGGTGTGGCCCTTTTAGAGGAAGTGTGTCACTATGGGTGGGCTTTGAGGTCTCTTTTGAACAAACTTCCCTCAGTGTGACAATCAGTTGACTTCCTGTCACCTGCAAGATGTAACAGTCTTGGCTCCAGCACACCAGCTCCCCATTGTGATGATCATGAACTGAACTTCTGAAACTCTAAATGAGCCACCCCAATTAAAAATTAAAACAGTTTCCACGGTCATGGTTTCTCTTCACAGAACTGAAAACCGAGAGAGAGAGAGAGAGAGAGAGAGAGAGAGAGAGAGAGAGAGAGAGAGAGAGGAATTTTCTCAGTTGAGCTTCCAGCTTTCCAAAGACTCTAGCTTGCGTCAGGTTGACATAAAACTAGCCAGCACAGTAGTAAACTGACTTTTCAACCCTACGATAAACAGAGCTAGACAATTGGGTGCTATCTGCCAGCTATAGATGAACAGAATCAGCCCTTGTGTCTCCTAGTGGATCATAATGACGCATTTCTTACACTCCTGAAACCTAGAGCTTGGACTGTGGCCAGCAAGCCCCAGTGAGCCTCTGTTTTCTGGCTGCCACAACACTAGGGCTCCAAGCCTGCATCCCTGCAATCACATCTGGCTTTTTACTGATAACAAGGGTTTGAAATCAGGTCCTCATGCTTGAGCAGAAAATGCTGTTAGCTGCTGACGCATATCCCAAACCCAAGATATGGTCATCTGTCTGCAGTGTGCCCCCTACCTTGTTCACCTGGGAAACACCTAATGGTGTACAATGTCCAAAGGCTTTCCAGATTTGCATCCCTGACTTCGTAGTCAATCTCACACTCCATATGTTTCTGGCAACATCCAGCCCAGAGATTCTGTTCATAGATCTCTTCTGAGCCATATTGTAAATATCTGTTTCATTGCTGGGTCCCCTAGAGTCTGGCCCTGGAACAGGATCCGGATGTACCTGGGAAGGTTTGTGAAAGAAGAAAGTCTAAACTGAGAAGTGTCTTAGACCGGACAGACCTGATCTTGCAGAGAAGAGTACAGTGTGTACTTCTTGTACAGCGTGGTTATACTTATGAAACAACAATTCTTCACCACCCCCAGAAGACTTTGCTTATATGTACCTAGCTTCTCATTATGTATCTGTCCTGAAATAGGAATGTTGGGTAAAGGTGAGGCAGAGTCCCAGGGGAAGCTATTGTGAGTAAAACAGAAAGTCGTTTCCTTGAGATATGGACACTCAGAACCTGGTGGTTAATAATAGTGTTGTTCCGTTTAGGAACAGTAAAGTTCTAGGGTTTGGGGACACTAAGAGTCTGTTGAGATATACATACTACTCAAATATAAAATACCATGATTCTATTTATGATTTTTTGTAAGATCCCAAATCTCTGGACCTCAAAAAGAAGGCAAGATCTGAGAGCTCATTAATATGCACCCACAATCCTAAATTCCTTTTTGTTCAAGAAGTCACAGGCTGAACTCATTAAATTGCCAGCAGACCAGAAAAATAAGTTATGTGAAAGCCAGCACAGGAAAAATAATTTGTAAAGTTCAGCAATTTTTAAAAGATCAAAACAAAACCCTTGAATAATAGGCTGGGCATGTAGCTCAGTTGGCAGAGTGATTGCATGAAGTCTTGGGTTCATTTTCAAATCCCAGGTTTGTAAGTAGTACATGCCTGTAATTTTAGAAATTAAAACTTGAAAGATAGAGGCAGATGGACCAGAAGTTTAAGCTAATAACTGGCATTCAAAACCAACTTTGGATATGTTGAGATTCTGTCTCAAAATAAAACAAATAAGCAAAAAGCAAAAAAAAAAAAAACCAAAAAAACAAGAACAAAAACCCCAAAAACCCTTAAACCAGAAATAATCTCTCTAAACTCCAAATAGCCTGCAATATTTAAAAAGAAATGTAACTAGACATGTATAGATCAAAAGATACGTAAGTTTGTTTTGAAGTAGGATGTTGCTATGCTGCCTCAAATTTATAATCTTCTTGCCTTAGTTTCCTGAGTGCTGGGATTAGATCATGCCTCGCTAGCCTTACAATTTGAACCCAATGAGATAAATGTCAGAGATGACCAGGAGCCTTGTGACAGCCTTGATAACACATGTGTTCTCCCATCTTGATGGACTAGGTCACATTTTTTCTTTTTTGTACCACTATTAGATCAGACAGCAAGCACTAAGAACAGGAATCGCGTCTAGATAAAGACTTGTCACTCAGTGTCCAGCATCTTCAGACTGAGCTGGCTTCATCTGCTTGCTCAGAAGTGACCCAAGCAGGC